ACTGTGACTTCGCGGTACCGTTACACCCCTTGTAGTTCCGGCACTGGATGCTGAATCTGATAGGTTAATTCAGTGCAACTTTGGTGTGAAACAAATTACTTAATGAGATGCTTTGTCACCAAGAAACGGAAGTAGCCACAGACCTTTTGTTCTTCATTGTAAAAAGGAATATTGAAATTGAAAAAAAAATTGTGCGGGACTTGGTTTTGTCTGTCGGTTGTTGATTGGATGGAGGCAAAAAAAAAAACTTTATACAATTATGAATTATTCACATTAAAATTAGTAACATACATTTAGAAACAGGCAGATTTTGTCAATTTTCATTTGGAATTTCAATGTAATGTAGGGACGGTTTTAGAGAATGAATAAGGCACTAAAAGTTAGGGATATATTTAGAGGTTAAAGGGGTTGCAGACACTTTGCATCTTGCCTAAAATAGTGTTGTTTCTTAATTTACAATGCACGATGCCTTTGTTGCATCACAGTGTAATTAAACCGTTGGGTCACTTAGGATGTTTTGTTAGATAATCCTTATTTAAACACGTGACAAAGTAGTTCACACCAAGCACATTGATATTGCTGTAGTGACTCCACCACTTGGGGAACGTGTGGCATTTATTTAAGCTTTAATACTTTGGATCACTCCTTTTTACACTGGGAAAAGAGTACTAATTGCTCCATGGCCCATATTCCATGCATTATGGACATGTTTAGTCCATAACTTCAATGTTAATTATTTTATGGTCCTCAACACCATACACAACCTCATGCCAATCTGAAAGTTGTCCTTCATCAGTGAAAGTACAACACAGTGTCTGCCAACCGACACAGGCAGCGGCTGTGTTAGCAGCACTAAATAACAAGCACTCAAATCCCACGAGCTCTGTTCTGGTTCACATTCATGTCAGGAGAGGGGTTGCTTGTTTGTCTAGAGATTTTCTTCGCTGTTTACTCTAGCTGTGTTGCTTTTTGAGCCGTTCCCCCGCCCTTCCCAGCTGTTTACATAAGGCCCTCTCTGTGTATTATGGCACCTGCCAGATCTGCAGATCGTACCACCTGGTTAATGTTAAATTGCTCCAGAAGGAAGATGTGTTTGTTAATAAACACCAAACCCAGGGCCCCAGTGTTTACTGTAGTCATGGTGGCAATCAGTTATTTAACAAATATCGGCCCCTGCTTGTGTGGGAGAGTGTTTAACTATGTACGAACCAGAGAAAAGGTGCAACCTGCCAAAGGAGAGCTATATGAAGCGCTCGAGGGTTGAAAGAAATGAGTTTTTATGAAGTTAAGATCCGTGTTCTTATAACTTCAGCTTTCGTATGACTAGTTCACCTTTAAACAAGTGGACTGGGCTGGTTTCTTACCATCATGAGGATTGGATAAAAAGAGAACCTTTAGCATATCGTTGTTTTTTCAACAGTACATAGCCCACGCAGTTACATTGTCTTAAATGGTTATTTTTAAGCTTCGTGGAAGGCAGGCAGACAGGTTATACCAATGTTCATAAGAACCTGCCCCTTGCGGTTGTGTTTTCTGAAAATGGTAATACTTAAATTTGTTTTAGTTTTTCAACAATAGTTCTTTGAATTGATTACTTTTTTAAATTCAAATAGCATACAATATGCTGGTTGATTAATCACAATTAATCTCAGTGTCAATATTTTCCCTCAAAGACAAAAAAGCCCTCAAATAAAGAGATTATTCAAAGAAAAAAATTGGTTTTAGAATTTTATATTGTCAATATATTTTGAATATGATTTATATTCAATATTATTAGTTTTATCATATATATATATATATATATATATATATATATATATATATATATAAAATATTATAATATAAGTTCTATCAGTATTTATTTACAATGTAAACTGCTGTCTTTGGCCACTGCACCATATCTTGTTTTCCAGGGACTCTTATGGAGTAAAAACATGACATAGTAGTATTTCTCATGACAGGAAAATCCCTTAAGGAATTTTAAATGCGGGTTAGGTGTATCGTAGCCTGGCTAATGTCAGACGTGGTCTGGGTCCTGGGAACTGCTCATTTTCTCGTATTTGAGGCGTGGTTTACGAATAACTAAAGCTGTTTAATGGGTGCTACGAATGTCTATCAAATGCGCTTGTACGTAGCTCGTAGCCAATCGTTATGAAATGGTTTAACGCCAAAAGCTGCTCTTTTTTCAAAATAAACTTGCATTCTAAACTACTTTTCTAAAAACAATTTCTAAGGCTGCATTGAAAGGTAACTTCGTGTCGGCTGCCATGTTTGATCCATAGGTATAAACAAACTGCTTCGGTGTGTCGCATAGACGTCGTCATCGTCTTGCTGCTCCCTCCCCGTTCTGTGATTGGTCCCCTCGTTTGGTCCATGGTATCCAGACTGCTTAGCAGCGTGAATAAAATCGTGCTGTGCATAGGCAGCATGGGGAAACCCAGGCTGGGAGTATCGTTTGAATTTTAGCGATTTCGATTCTTATCGATTTCCAGTTAATTCCAGTATGGTAAAAAAAAAGACAAACATTTAGATATCAAGCATTTATTCTGTCATTTTGCAAAACATAATATCGCACCATGGGGGAAAAAAAAAGAATTAAAAAACATATTATTAAAACCAGTCAGGTTTATTAACCCCACTGTATGCCCCAGTGCACAAATTTCTATATACTGTTACGCATATGTTTTCTTTCTCAACTGTTTACATTCACTTAAGACATGACTTATTGTGTTTACGAGGATATTTTGACACAGTTTTATGTGTATTTGTCCTTTCAAGCACAAAATGACATGAAAGAGAACTTCAGTATTTGTGCATGCGCTGTGGATGTGCCCAGCACAGAAAACTGTGTGCGAGTGCAGGATCGAGTTCTCTTTCGTTTTCTTGCGCTTGAATGGTTTAAAATCTACACTGGCCGAGAGAGCTCACGGTGCAACAAAAACACAAGTGTTTTGTGCGAGTCTCTCAACTTGAAAATTTGCCATGTTTTCTTAATTTGTTGGTGTTTTTCTATTCGCATGTGTTTTCTTTAGTTGCGGCGCGTTGAGCTTTCAAATACGCACACAGGGATCGAAATTTTAATTTTAGTACAAGTTTGAATCGATTTTCGATTCCCGACCCTAGTCATGTGGCACAGTTAATTGCGTTATCATTATTGGTCACAATAATTAAAGAGCACCTATCATGGATTTTTTAAAATGACTGTTTATGTAGTGTGGAATATAGCTCTAAGGGAATGAAAACATCCTGCAAAGATTTATATCTGAAAGTGCACCGTATAAAGTTATTGTCTTATTGTCTTTCAAAAGTGAGAGTCGACTCTGAGTCTATGAAATGAATTGTTTTTGAAACGAGTCATTAGCTGTTACATCGTGACGTAGAGAGGTCATTGGCCGCTCCCAACAACTGCGTGCGCAGACTTGAAGTGACGTCTAGAACACATTCAAATACTTCAGCTGAATCGCATCATGTCGAGAAGACACTGTGTTCTACATTGCAAAGATAGTTCACCCACTTGTTTCCATTGACCACTAATTCTTCACATGCTCATCCCTGGACAGAGTTCATATTTGCAACAGTATAGCCCGAACCTTGTGTTCTCATCATTTTAATGATGAATCATTCGCAAGCCGGTTGTTCTTGAAGGAGGGCTCAGTATCCAGTGTATATGGATCAGGTTCGTACTCCTCCGAATCACAATCTGTAAGTAATATTAATAATGTTTGCTGTTATGTTTTCTGTAGCATGTACAATATAGGCTAGTTATTGTGTTGTGTACACTCCACGCAGCTTCTAAGCGGCGTAAAGTTAGTTTTGTTTTTGATATTCACCAGACATTCATTGAAAAATGGCAATTACCTCCTAAACGACTTAGCCAAATTATGACTTCGCTCTATATAATAAGCACTGCCCCTCAAAAGCCCCCGCAATGTGAGTTTCACCGGGAAAGCTCGCTCTTGACAGAGACGTGAGTAAGGGACCGTGTGGAAAGTGCACTTTTTCTGACACGTTTGTTCAAACACTATATACAATTTTCAACACTTGACAAGCTATAATCCTGGTTATGGGCGTTCCGTTGCCGACAGTCTCTGCCTACGGTTTACCAATTACAACTGACTGGGTCATTTGACCAATCGCCGCAGATTTGCGTCACTCAAAGGAGGTGTTTGGGAAAATGAATCGTCGAACGAATCATTTGGGAGTCGTTGAGCAAATCAGTTAAAAATAAATGCATATTATAAGACAAATAAAGTGTTTTTTTATCCTTGCATACACGTTAAACTGTTTTTGGGAACTCCTAAAAAAAAAATAGGAACATTTCAAATGCTATCTTTAACACAGCCCTAGTTACTAAATTAACATCAGCATCTCTGATCCTGAGAGTGAAGGACAGTTAGAACTTGAACCTTTCTCTTTGCTGATTGTATCAGGCTGAGAAGAATGTTGTCTTTGTTCGTGTCAGTTTTTTGTAAACACACTGATGAGATCAGGCTGTTTCACACAGATGTTTGTCGACTTTAAGATGCAGGATATTGATCGTCAAGTTCAAAACAGATATTTTTCTTACCAGGGTGAGACAAGATCTTAAAAGGTGCATATAAGTAAAGGTTTTCTTTTAATTTCCATTCTGCTCAACTTTTTATTTTTAACCATGACATGGTTATTTCCTCTAATAAAAGTTGAATTCAGTCTCAAGCACAATATAAGATTCGCCTTAGTGAGCAATTGTCAGTTATTTGCGTTAACATGCCTATAGGCATCAAATGCTTAATTCTCAGAACTGTTTGTTTATAATGCATTATCATATTTGTGAACAGTACAAACACAAATGTTTGTGTTTCGATGTCAACTCTGCTGGCAAAGTGCATGTTTTGTCATGATCTAGTCTGTAGGCTTATGTGGGGGGAGAAGGAAATAAAATAAAGGAAAAGCCTTTGCAGAGCGTAGAAAAAATTTGTTTTGCTGGCCAGCTGTCTTATTTTTCTCCTCCTGTATTTAAGGTTGTCGTTTCGACATGCAGGAGTCCAAGACCGATCTAACAACCAATAGCAGTCCAATTGGGCAGGAAGGCCAGAGCTCAGAGAGCGAGAAGGGGGTAACCAGAGAAACGTCTTCATCCCCATCATCCATAGCCCAGACACTTCAAACACAGGTAAGGACCTCAATACGAACTGAAAAGCTACAAGTTTCTTTTGTGACTTGGAACTAGAGTTAGGTACACATTTCCGGATTATTTAAAAATGACACTTGAACATATTTTCTAGTGCTCCTCTCATCCTGTAGATCTTCTCCTTATGCAGACTGTGTGTTGTGACTGTTCATGAGATAAATTGTCCTTGCAGGTGATGCAGATACTCTGGTATCTTTTCAATTCCCTGTGCTCCTCAACTGAAGTTTATTGTGAATAGCACTGTGTAGCACAGGTTCATCAAGTCAGTGTAACCAATTGATGATACTTAATTTAATAATAAACCTAATATGTTCAAAAATATTGCAATAATACTGTGGGACATGGACACGTGACCTTCCACTTTTAGCATGTGATTCATTTTTAAAGAGGAGACATGCTGTCATCTCCTTTTCTAATTTTTTTTATTTACCTAGTATTTAAATAGGATAGTTTGCTCAAAAAGTACAATTCTGAAATTTACTCAACCTCATGCCATTCCAAACCCATAAGACTTTCGTTCATCTTAAGAACACACAAGATCATTTTAATATTCTCTTTTTTGTTCATCCATTGAAAGTCCATCCATCAAAATGGTCGTCTCAAAAAGTAAAAAAAATAAAAAAAATCTATAGACTGTAAATCAAGCAGAATAATTCAACTGCGTCTGAAATTGCATAGCTACTACTTGTGAATAATTTTTTTATATAGTATGAATATGGGTAGCATGACTGAAATTTGGACATACTACATCTGCTATGTTATTGTCACGTGACCTACCAGCGTCAGTTGTGTCGCTTCAATTGCCATTCATAATCTTTTCCTGTAGTCTCATTGGATAGCAAAGTGTATTCGTGCGTACTACTCTTTTAGCGTACAAAGAAGGGAAGTATTCGATTTCGGCTGCAACTAGACAATCACTTTATATGAATAGATTTCATTTAAGCTTTTATTCACATATATACATTTATCAACATACATGTATGGAGCACATCAAATAAAAAAAGCTATAGTGATAAAAAAGGTTTAAAATGTAATGTTTTTGATTGCATAGTTCAATGGATGATATCAGAGAATATCAACAGTAACTTCATGTTTGTTTAGGCTTTGAGTATTTGATAGCAAAAACTTACATTTTGGGTGTACTTGCTCCTTTTAAACTATGACAATAAAGTCACAATCCACCTTATGCACTGTCATAAGGCACAAATGAATCGATATTGAATCTAAATTGTAATTGAGCCGGAAACAAATTGTGAAATCTTTGCCGATACCAAGCCCTACAAGAGACTGACATGTTGAAAACGTTCCAGGAAATGCTTTCTCAAAGCAATGAAATTTTTATAGTTATGTCAACATTTGTTACACAATAGCTTTGTTGCTTGTTAGAAAAATTGAGCAATTGTGTGACACACCCGTGTTAAATCGTTTAAATCATTGACGTGTCTCATGTGAATCGGAGGCTCAGTGATTTCATTTCTCTTTCAAAAATAGTCATTGTCACTAAAACGCTTACTTGCTTTTATCTCTATGTATGTGTGTGTGAAAAGTGGATGATGAAATTGTGACAACAGTGACTGAGTACAGCAGATTCACGCTGAGAGCACCCACACATCTCTGTAATGCCCCATGTTCAGATTCCAGATGTATGATGTCACCTCTGGAGTATAGGCCAGACAGCTGTGGTTTCAGGGCACCGTCCTGTATTTAAACAATGAGAGAAGGCTCTGAAAAGCTCCTGTAAATGCTTTCCCATGTTGTTTTCATCTCCCAAGGATTACTGTGTCATGATCTGTCTGCTTTCCCTTTTCTATTCACACTCGTCTATTGAAGTCTCCCATATCCGTTTGCTCTCTTTTTGCGAAGGGGAGTTCCTCAGGGCCAGATGTTTGACCCTTCAGAGGTGTAAGAGGTCAGATCCGAGAGGATGGTCCCACCGCTGTGGTTATTGTTTGCGTTCATTATTTGCATTTCTCTTTCCTTGATTTCTATCTAGAGGGCCTCACAATGGAAAATAAGACAAAAGCAACAGAGAGTGAGAGAGACATCCTTTCATCGACTTTTGGAGACCTCTCATTGCTTTGGCACAGCTGATGTATTTACTTTGTTACTGTTTCCTGACAACTGTTTTTTTTCCATTTCAGAAGGCGTATAATGTTCTGGTTTAAATAAAAGAGCAGGTTTAGATTGTCTCATGCAAAGAATTATGCTAATGTTTTTACAAATGTTACCATGTGATAGTCTTCAGAGGAATGTACGATAGGATCCAATCACCAAGGGACTGCTGCGGCTGTTTATAGTCAAAGGTTGAATCCTCTGCACTTTGTGCAATGCGCGCAGTGTGTGTGACTGTTATAGGCGGATGTTCGCAGGTTTTCATAAAATAGAAATATTGTGCAATCATCACTTCATTTGTTCTGTGAGGGCTTGTCAAGAGCGTTATGGCTGTGGTCCACGTGCAATAATAAAGCATCGTTTTATCGCTTGGATATTTTTTTCAGTGGAGCTCTCCTTAAAGGTATAGTTACCTAAAAATTTAAATTCTCTCATCATTTGCTATAACCAACCGTCACCATACAGTTTTGGTTTATGCATATATGGTTTATTGCATCCTTGCTAAATAAAAGCATTAGTAACTTTTGAACAGTAGCATATATTTTGTGCTCCACAAGATGGTGAGACAATGATGATAGAATTGTAATTTTTTGGATGAACAAGCTTTTTAATAGTTTGTCGGGAAATTAACTTAACTATGAAATATGTTGCCTTTGCATCCGAGCTTCTTGAAAACAATGTGAGTGATCCTGGGAGAGCAGAGCTGCTCAGAAACCAATCAGAAACTTGTTATTGTTTTTTCCAGGCACTTCAAGTTGCTCAACAACAACAACAGCAGCAGCAGCAGAAGCAGCAGCAGCAAGCGAGTGGTGAGAAGTCCCCCAAGAGCACGGAAAAGGAGAGCGACACGCAGGTAGAGCCGTGCCCTCCTCCACCCGCAGCACACACACACACCTCCAGAGAACCTTGCTGTTTACACTATTGCACAAACCGACTTGTTTATGCTGCCTTCGACAGATCATAAACAGATGGCGCAATGAAGGGTGTTTTATTATTACATATTTTTATGATGGAAAATTACACGTCCACTTTATTGTGTCTGTAGCCGATTGTAAAACAAGTATTTTCTGTCTTTGTCAGTTAACAGATAAGGCTGTACAACTGAGGAGAAGTAGACAGCTGTGGAGTTTAGCCACAAACAAACACGCTATATGTCAGCCAGTTCACAGCTGCCTTTATTTATTCACCATGAATTGAATGTTTATTACATGAGTCTCATGTGAATGCAAGAGGTGGAGCTAGGGTTCAGATAGTCAATAGTTCAAGTCAACGTGCCACTATGGCAAGTGTAAGGGGCGGGGTTACCAGCCCGAACCTCATGACTGGACGGTTGAGCATTAGATTTGAGATCCTAGTGAGAGTGTTATTGGAGGGGGAAGTGGGTTGGTCAGCGAAGCTGGGTAGTTGAAAGGGACAGTAGGGAGGAAACTGGCATTGTGACTAGTCTTCAAGCATTCTGCGCAGCTCTCTGTTCTCAACGCCAATGGAGTTATCAAGGTCTGTGAGTATTGAGGCGAGTTGGGGAGGGGAAGGGGAAAGGGATATAATGTTTGCTTTAGTGTGTTCTGGTATTTGATGTCTGAGTTTTGTGGGTGTTTTTCAGCCTGTTTATTACCACTGTGCTTTTATATAAAACTTTTATTGCATTTTCCCCAACCAATTTGCTTTTAAAAGCTCTAAATTACTGCAATTCTCTGTAGTTTTCTGTGTGCTCACATTTGAATTTACAGATCATGAATTCAAAAAGCAGTTTGTTGTATTCATTTCTTGATTTATTTTTAATTGAGTTTTTTTTTTATCATTTAATTGCAGACATTGTTGAATAGCATTGTTTCCGAATTCTTCCTGAACTTTTATTTATTTATTTCGGGTTTTAAACAGAGAATGGGAACTAAGTGAGTGATCACTAGGGTCCATAATATCTGATCTGACATGAGGCTAAAAGCTTTGAATGGTCACTGGGGATATTTTCTTGTGACTCACTATCTTTAGGCTGTCATTTTGTTCCCTGAATTACTTCTCTTTGTCTTTTAAAGGCTATGTTCACTGAACTGTGCCTTTTCCCCTTTGCCTTTGCAATTTCTATTTATCCAGATGCACAGTGCAGGAAAGAATGTTATTTTTACTTTGGGTGGGGAACCACACCAAAATTGTTCAAGGTATTGAAGGGGAATAACAACAGGCTCTGTTTGTTTTTGGGCTGCTGAAGCCTGTTGATTTATGGCTTGTGTTTTCAGAAGCGATCGCTTGTTGACATGTATTCACTCATGGGGAGTTGGTTCTCTGACACACAGGCAAGAACAATAACAACAACAAAACAATGTTTGGACTTGTCTGTTGTCATGGAGACTTCACTCATTAGTGCTTACTGTGCCCCCGAGAGAGAATATTTACATTAATTTGCTGGCATGCTTACATTCTTCTCAGGCTTTAAAGTATTTCTGTGTTGAGACTCGAAGGCCTGGTATTTTGTCTTTTCGGAGCTCTTTCACAAGCAAAAGCATTTTTTGTTTACTTAAAGGTACTCAAGTTACAGTATTTCTGGTTCAATTGTTGTGTTGATGAAGGAACAGTATCGGTGTAGTTTACAAAATAAGTCATTCTTCAAGGAAAATCTTTGCCTGCAGTGTGTGGTCATGTATACAAGAACAGCATATAAGATTGGGACCCAAGCACTGGCTCCATTTGGAGTTCTTAAATGTGTATCCTTCTGTTGATGAAGACAATACTGTAAAACAATACTCAGTGGCAGAACAAATCCTAGTAATATGGAATATCACAGTAAAAATAAACAGCAAAAATAAACATGTTTCAGTTGCATGCAACAACAGTCAACTAGGAAAGCACTCATGAATCAGTTGTAGCAGTTACTGAATTAATCTGACTCGCTCACTGAACTGCAAGTCATTCATTTCAGTCATGTCCGAACCAAGAACTGATATAGGGCCTACTGTGTTGTTTTTCATGAGACTAAATCTGACTGATTATTCTTATGACAACATTAACAATGCATTCTAAAACATTTTTTAAATAAATAGCTATATTCTATAAATATATTACATAATATTTAGTCTTTTTTAATTGTAATAATTTTTAGATCAATATTTGTGTATTTTTATGCCACTCTTGTGCTGCGTTAAAGTCTATGAACACCTTTTAAAAGTATTGCATTCAATGTGGTGAAATATGAAATAAGCTCATAATTCGGCAAAAGCGATCTGTCATGCCACATTAAACATTTGATTTTCATTTTCATAATAAAATTGACTAATTTTTAAAGTTGAGAGTGTTTCATATCAGAAGCAAGCAATAAGGTGCAAGAGGCTGTGCTGTATCGTGAATAAGTAACTACGGGCGTTGTTAGGCACGACACGAAGCGGAGTAACCCCTTCAGCCGTTACCTATTCACGATACAGCACTTGCCTCGAGTACCTTATTGCTTTTATAAAACGGTTACCACACAATAAAAATATTAAAGTAGAAAAATATATATTAGTGCAACTTTCATGAAGTAAAATCACTAAATGTCTTCCTTCCGCTAGAAAAAAATAGTCCCTGACTGTGAACATTGACAACGTTATTATGTGTAATATGCATGAAAGCGCAAATAAAAACAACATAGGAACTGCAGTGTTGCGCAGTGATGAATAGAACCGTTGGGTGAAGCGGTCATAGCCGTGTTTTATCATGAATAAAGCACAGCTATTGACCAATCAGAATGAAGGATTGGAACTAATAGTTTTATAATGTGATATATTGGATGGGAGGCGCTACATAGTTCTATTCCATCATCAATTGAAAACAGCATAGACTGAAAGATTGATTATTGGGATTTAAGATTGTTATCTGTTCTTCAAAATGAAAGTGTGTACTATGTACTAACATTTAAAATAATTTTTTGATTCAATGCACTTATTATGTCCATACTTGTTTTTACAATGTACTTATTTTTAATTATATTAAAAAATTGCTGTAAATACATCTATAATGACACAGTTTACCTCTTAACCCACCTTTAAACCTAACCATACCACCAAACTTGTCCTTAAACTTACCCATATCCATAGGCATAATTTGTGGGTGGGATGGGTGGGATGGGTGGGACCCCACCACTTTTTGCCATGGAAACATCTCGTGGCATGGTTGTAAATAATACAAATAAATAACAGGGCTCCAGACTAACTTTTTTTTACTAGGAGCGTTGTTGCCCCTGACTGAACATTTTAGGAGCACAAGCAGAAAATTTAGGGGCACACCTTAAATCAGCTTGCAATGCAAGTATTCAAATTTCCCTCAAAGTAACTGTAATACTGTAATACGTCTTCACAAGGACACGTGCTTTAATCTGTTGCGGAGACTCTCTATTCGTTCCGGTGAAATCACAAAGTAAAATGCACACAAATGTGTCCCTGCTTGATATACAACCACTGATAAACATAATTGGTTTTAATGAGAGAAAAAAAAAACAACCTATATGAGTGCGGCTTAGAACCCAGAACCTCTGACTCGCTTGCCAAAAGTTCTGCCTCTGGACCATTAAAGTCCATGCGTGTAAATGTTGGATTTTTTCTTCACATGAAAACATACCGACGTCCAGCAATCGATTTAAAAAGTACATTGTGTTTAATTTGCCGCTTAATGAGGTCTAATATTTTCACGTGAAAATTCTCTATTTAAATCCATTGCTGGACTGTACATAAGTGTACATCTAATTTATGATTTAGCATTGTATTAGGCCCCCCCCCCCCAACAGACCTGTCCCACCTACTTTTAAAGCAAAGTTACGCCACTGCCCGTATCCCACCTCAATAGCAGCACTAGTGTTTTATAATGCAACATCAACACAATAACTACACTTACACTTATTTTTGATGTACATATTAGTTAAGGACACCAACATTTTTAACCCAGCCCTAATAATAATCATTAATGGAGTCATTGAGGCAGAATCATTTAATTCTTTACAATTCCCATTCGCTGTGGCCTGTGAAGATGTTAAGCTAGGTCTGTCATCAATGTAATATATTGCTATTGGACACAAAGGGCTTTTGATCACATGTGAAACAAGTTGGAAAAGAGCATCGTGAACATTCTGCTAAACACTATCTCTTTTTGTGTTCCATCGAAGAGAAAGTCATGAGTCTTCTTACACTTTTGTATTAACTGTTTTTTTAATTGTCAGGATTTTGGGCCATGATCAGCCCCCCATACTTGATGAACACACACACACACACACTGTATGGGAAAGACTGTATTCTAACAGTCAGCTGTTATTGTTCTCCCATACTTGCAGCAGTATCTCAGTCCAGAAGTATGTTTATATGAAACTGAACACAGACTTCTTTACTGGAAATTTGTGTTTGTTTGTGTTTCACAGACTTAATTAAAACGCAATCTCGAGTTTTGTTTTTACAGTTGCTGTGTACCGCAGTATGTATTATTTATACGAATCCGTAAATGTGACTTTAATTATTCTGTTTATGTTTATTGTAAACATCTTAAAAGCAGTGTGTGTGTGTTGGCTTGAGATGTGGTAATTGCTTGAGGCCAAGTGATGCATGGACTAACTCATTGTGAATCCAGTGCACATTTACATTGAAAACACTCGCCTCTGTTGTGGGTATTTTTGTTTTTCTGTTTTCGTTGGTAGCATTTTTAATGTCAGCGTTTGAGTTGCTGTCAACAAATGATGAATAATGTATTTGTCTTTTTAATCTTGACTGGTTGTTTGCCTCAGTTTATGGGCAAATTAAACTGAGATAACTGAAATTAATGCTTGTAAGAGATGTTTTTTTTCCAATTGTAGGCACGGGGGTTTGTCCTCCGCATTTTATTGAGGACTGCATGCCTTGTTATTTTCAAAATTGTTTGTGTATTTGTTTATATGGTCTTGTTGATGTTGACTGTTGAGGCCCAGAGGACTTGGAAACTATTCCCTGAATGTCTAAACAATAAAATACAGAAAGGTCTGCCATAGTCTTACTCTGGTATCTCTTTTTAGCTGTTCAGTTGTTTTAAAATTGTTTACTATCCTTGGGGAAGAGAATTGAAATTGGGTGTGTGGAAATTCCTCTGTTCTTGGAGTTCATGATTTGCGTTTTTACATCACAAGGTATGCAGTGTGATCAAATCAATCTCAACCAGGATAACAAATGTCTTCTTGACATCCTAAAGCTCATCATATTGTCTGTCAAACAATCAGTCTGTTGCTAGAAGTAGAGACCCGTGCTCCCACAAAAATGTTACCTTCTCCCACTCCCACCCACAACATTCATGTTTTGTCCCGCTCCCGCCCGCAAAAGCCCCCAGGTAAAAGTATTGATCTTTTTCTTTTTTTCTTTTTCCTTCAGTAAATAGTTCAAGTTACTTGTCACCTAGCCACTGCCCACACGTCCCAGCATAAACTGAATTAATTTTGCGTTCATAAATATTTTTTATTATAGCATCTACATACACAAACCACTGTTAACAGAAAAGCAAGCATGGGTGATTTAGATAACTAAATAGTCTTTCTAGAGAATCCAAATTCAATAGCCAATTAGCTATCTGATTATTTTCAGATGTGCTATCTGTTATGTGAATGAACATTAAAATGCCTTGGTGTTAGTGAAAACGCAGTCGTTTATGTTTTAAGATAATATAAATGAGTGTAACAAAACATTGGGTGTTCGTCAAAATAGATATTGGTTGATGTTAATATTAATTACTGACAATCTTGTAGAAAAATAGATAACCTTTCACTGCACTTGGCTGGATAATTGTATTATCTTCATGTTATTTAAAAACAAGTATTAACTCAACATTAATCCTAACAGGAAGAAAATGCTTATTTCAATCATGGATCTGCCTCTCAGTCAAATTCTTACAGCATTGAATTACTAATAATGTACAAGACTATGGCAATAATTTAAGTCATTTTTCACATTTGATTACTTTTTGATTTTGTTTTTAATTTATTAATGTTTATTTGAATATTTAATACTGTTAGATCTGCAGGTACTATTTACTATTTAATTTTGGTTCTTTGATCTTTTTTTATTACAGAGTGTTTAATTTGAAAAGCTTGAAGCTTTATTTTTATATGCAGTATATGTTGTTAATTATATTAAATGCCAAGCACCATGTTACTTTTCGTTGTGGTATTGTGGGAATCATGAAATTGCACTGGTATTGGTATTAACTACCACATTTATGGTATTGTGATAATCCTTATACAAGCTAGTGTTTGATAAATAATGAAGTGGTGTGTGTCTGTAGGTGTCTGTATCAGTGGGGATGATAACTCCTCAGGCCATCACCCCTCAGCAGATGCAGCAGATTCTTCAGCAGCAGATCCTGAGTCCTCAGCAGCTCCAACTGTTACTGCAGCAACAACAGGCCCTCATGTTACAGCAGGTACACACAAACACATTGGGTTTTTATGTTCTATGAAGACTCTCTATAGACATAGGGATTTTTATACTGTACAAACTTTACATTCTATCCCCTTCCCTTAAACCCAACCATCACAGACGTAATGATGTTTTACATTTTCAAAACAACAATTGTTTAGTTTGGTTTATAAGCTGTTCCCTTCATGGAGACAGAATTTTGTCCCCACAACACAAAAAAAGTCAGGTTTTCCTAATCTTTTGGGGACATTGGTCTTGACAACATATGGAATATCTAGACCACACACACATCAGTTTTTCCTTATCAGTAATGGTTACTTTTTTTTACCTACTAAATTGGTTCTCAATCTTTTTTACTCAAATGCCCCCACCCCTCATAACCAAAGAATTTTTTTTAATTAGAGTTCAAATTCGACATTGTTTTACTATAATAGTACAAATGATTATGATGATTATTATATTAATAATAATTTGAAATACTTTAAAGTCAGCCCCTTAGGAAGTTTGCTTAGGCCTCCTATACCCCTTTTCCTTCAGAATGGTTCACGTTTTGGAGCCAGAGTCTGTTCTTGGGGCGGGCTAACTGGGGCCTGTCGCGAACCGGCCGTGTTTCCACCGACTTGAGGAACGAACGCTGATATAACGCTACTATGTGTTGTTTACCTGCCTAACCTATAACCAGTCTAAAGAAAATATCTTTCTAGTGAACCCAGCAGTTCGTATAATCTGAAGGTTCTCTCATCTGTCCTTTTTGGAGATAAACTGTAACTGATTCACTCGCTCTCTCGCACACTGGATCTCTTTCACGCGTATAGTTTTATATATTTAGATGTAAAGAGCAATGTAGTGCAACGTTATTACCTTGCTCATCGAGACAGCGGCAGCATTTCTCCGTCCAACTCCCAGGCTCCGTTTGAGAACACCAAGTTTTTAGGGTTGGAATTGAACCGTTCTCTGTTCTTGAACCGTTCCACTGCAGAAAAAGGGTTCTGGGTCAGAGACAAAGACCCGGAAACCCGCGCCGGAACAGTGTCGGAGGAAAAGGGGTAATGGTTGGCCCTGGCCCCCTAGTTGAGAACCACTGTGTGATTGCATTTTTACACTAAAGTTTTTGTGAAACAGTGGCCAAACAAAATCGGTTATGCTGGCCGCCTTTACACTGCCAGTGAGATGGACACAAAACTGTGGAAGTTATCAAACACTGCTTTTACTAAACATTTACTCAATCTGCTTATGTATTTGAAAACGGATAATGTACATAATACATTGATAAAGCTAATGCAAACATAAACCAACATTGGCAAAGCTAAGCTAAAAGCCAATGTGGTCATCTCAAAATATCCAAATTGTAGATTATTACTTGACATGGTCAATACTAGGAAGTCACATACTTCCCTATTATATGTAGGCAAAATACAGTATGTGACAAAAGTATGTCTGAATTCACAGTACTCATAAAAGAGTAGGCAGAAAGTACCCGGATGACCTACTACTTCCAGTGAGATTCTGAAGTGTGAATATGATGGATGCTTTTCTATCCCTTGAGGCCACGGGAGAGGATTTGGGTGTGGCAGTGAAGCGATGCAATTGACGCTGGTGTGTCACATGATAATGACAACATGGCCAATGTAGTACATCCAGATTATATTAATACTACACTGCACACACAAGTCGTGAAGTAATTAAATAAAAGAGAGCATGCGATTTCGAATGCAGCTTCACTCTTTCATTAGTGAGTAAACTACCTTGGATTGATGTGTCTTGTTTTCTGGTGTTAATGTTTTGTTTTCTCAGCAACAGCTTCAGGAGTTCTACAAGAAACAGCAAGAGGAACTCCACCTGCAGCTCCTGCAGCAACAGCATGCTGGGAAACCCAGTAAAGAGGTAAAAGCTTCTCAATCAGGGCCATTTGTTGCCCTTGTCCTCAGCAATCTCTGCCAGATTATTGTCACACAGCCTACTTTTCACCAGCCACATTTCTGTCTTTTGACTGCTTTATGCGACTGTACTGTGAGTGAGTGAAGACACCGGCTGTGGTGTCGGCAGCTTTATCACTTGAGTGAACGAGCCGGCTGTGCGGTGATACTGTGAGTGGATGACGACCCCATCAGTGACTGTACTGTGAGTGTCATGTGTCTGTCTCTGTATCCCTCTAACAGCAGATGATGGTCCAGCAGATGGCTATACAGCAACAGTTACTCTCCGTTCAACAGCAGCACCTGCTCAACCTGCAGAGACAAGGCCTGCTGTCTGTCCCGTCGGCTCTTTCCAGTGCACTGCCTCAGGGTAACAACACCTCACTGCCACATGACATGAAACAGTGTTATGAGAATGTTTACCTTCAAGGAATGCATCCTAAAGGTTCAGGGAGTCACCAAGTCGCTGTACTGTTGTTTTTAGTTGGCATTCCTGTTCAGATCATTTTTTAAATCGTATCTACCCCAAACTTTTGAACAGTACTGGAATGGGTTATTGTCTTCTCAGAATAGCTTTGTGAAAGGGATCCTTGATTTGTTTTATACATATTTGTTTATTATTATTTTATTTTAGTGAGCCTTTATTCAACCAGGAGAGAAACCTGAAATTATGATCTATTTTTAAGGAATATCATGGTCAAGATAGGAGGCACATTACCATGTTTGATTTTGAAATGACTTGTGTATGATTAAACATCATTAAAACAGGTTGTTTGATGGTTTAAGATGTTCTCTTGCTGAAATGAATAAGAAAATGAGTCACAAAGATGGTTCAAATGGGTTTGATTAGAGATGATTTGCTATCCAGTGATTCCATGGCTGTCAGAGGTTATTGATTGGAGGTTGGATGGATTGGAATAGACAGAGAATCGTGGATATAGAGGTCTTGTTAGTTGTCTAGTGATCTAATAAAGGCTGTGTCTTACTCACAGGAATAAATCCCGCTGAGCTTCAGCAGCTTTGGAAAGAGGCGGCAGATGCACGGCAGGAGGAGAAGAGTAGAGGAGACAAATCCCCCTCTCCTGCCAAAACTCAGATCCTCAACCACCACTCCAGCACCAACGGACACCATGTGCTCCGACCCAGCCGGAGAGACAGGTATTTCATCATTCAACCGGGGTTTTTTTTTTTCTTGAGGCATATTTTTTTTGCATGCAAGCATATGACATTTATTTTTCCAGAGATCATGTGTGTGTTGTGCTTAGGAATACTGTGTTAATATTTGCTCTTGATGCTCTCGGTCTCTCATCAATATCTGAGCTCAGAAGAGTAAATGAACAACAGTAAACTGAAGCACTGTGGTAGCACTGCAGGTTTACTAACTCACCAAGCTCATCCTATACGAGATTAATGAGATACACAACACAAACATACTTGCATCTGCACAAAAGGACACAAATGCACAAGTGAACTTGACAGTGTGTGACTTCAGTTGTTGATCCGTTCTTCCAATTTATGACATTCTGTTTTAATTATTGCTGTCAAACGTTTAAAATATTTAATCACGATTAATCGGATGGTCATAGTTAACTTGTGATTAATCGCAATTAATTGCACATTTTATCTATTCTAAATATCTCTTGATTTCTTTTTGTCCCATTATATTTTCTAATTTTAATGCTCTAATGCATATTCTGAATAATTAGTCACATACAAAAGCTGCTCTTATACACAAATAAATGATAAAGAGTCTAAGACATATGACTTGAAATTGTTTTTGTATACCATAATCAAAAACAGCTAATAAAAAAAGTAAATGGACTTTTTTGTGACTGGCATTGCACTGATACACACTGTGACTGTGGAGGGCAGTACAGTAAACCTATGTATAACGTACGTATTACAGATCTGTTTACAGCATATTGACGTGAAAATAAAACGATACAGAAAGCAGCTCTCATACAAAAATAGAAAAAAGCCACAATTAAATTATGCAAATTATCCACATGTTAACTTTTAACGAAGAGGGGCCACATTCATGCTCATGCGTCTCTGTTATGCGCACGCCACAGACTGGCCAGGCACTGTACTTCCGCGCTTCAAACTTCCGCCTTTTGCGTTCAGTCAATATTACGTTATTAGAAAGATTTTATTATTATTTATTTATTTATTTTTTTGGAAATCGATTTTTTTAAATTTGTGAATCGATTCAGAATCGTTCCACAGCTGCATTGCGATGCATCTAAGAATCAAATCTTTCCCCCACCCCTATGCCCAATATGTTGTATCAGAAGTAAAGTGTTAATCACGAAGACAAATGCCTCTTAAAATACCTGGCAACTGTTTTTTGTGTGAAAGGTGTCAGTCCACGTCAACTTGTCCCCTGCAGGCCTTCTTATTGTTTTCAGAGGTCTAAACCTGTTTGTCTATATGTTCCCAGAGCTTGTTTGCCCGAAAGCACTTGACTGTTGTCAATCAAAAACCTGTGACTGTTACTATGTGAACTTTCCTTATGAAATGTATTGCTGTTTGTTGACTGGTTTGAACTTGTTTATGCTTCTGCGTGAACCCATTACCCAAGCAATTGGGGTTAAGAACCAGCAGCCTTCTGGTTCCCCAACCCCGAGTCTTAACCACTACACCACACTACCCCGTTAACAATAAACGCTCGGATTACAGTAGGTGCCATCCTGTCCTAGTGTTGCATTGATGTGGTCTGTAATGTCAGCAGAGCCCGCCTGTGATTGTTTGCATGATATTGGTGGAGGGTGAGAGCTCAAGGACTGTGTGGTCAGTTTCAGGTGTCATGTAAACTCTTGCCCGCCAGAGAGACGCCTGCAACTAAAACCTTAAGTGCAGCCACTGGCACCAGAGAACAAACCCTTCACCCATTCCAGAAGACCACGACATGTGGCCATTGTCTATCCATCTCTCCTTCTGGCTTACTGAGTGACACGCAAACACTCTCACGCTGATGGACTGAGGGATCCAATGTAATCAATCCTTTAAAATCTGTCCCACTCCATCTTGATCCATATACTACTGTAGCGTTCTCTCCCGAGTGCTTTTTTTTGTGTTTGACATTGGGCTGGGATCTCCATCTGCATGAACAAACAGTTCATTGCGCCTGTTTGTTTTATTGTGTCTGCTTGCTGGCTTATTTGATTGTTCAGTGTGCTATAAGGATGGAAATAACAAAGTCTATTTTAATTTGTCAAGTGTGAGTCATCTCTCTCAGGGCTTCAGACTGCAACCAAAATTGGAAAATGTGTGACTGAATTTTACATCCAGTCGCACATGTGGGACCAGTAAATTTGTCCTTTTTTATTTTATTTTATTTTTTTTACACGTTAAACGTGGAAGGGGCTTATCAATGAATCCAGAATGTGTGGTTGGCCAATGAGTGTGAGAAGAATAGGGAATGGCCACTGTAAGTGGCTAATGTGTGGAGGGAGAGGGTCCTAGAGAGATAATCGAGCGCGCGTTTAAATGTCTGAAGGTGACGGTGACAACCTGCTGTGCGTCTGACCAATCATGAGCAAACGAACTATTGACTCGTTCTTCCGACCTGCGGCTAGTGTGCCAGTTAAATTCACTTGCTGGCTTCCCAAATAATACATTACAACAGCGATAATCAAAAAATCGTGAAAAAAATGATTACTCTTTGTAAACACTGTTCAATGTGAGTGCCAAATCTCGAACACGACCTGTCATTTACGCCATCATCACCTGTGAGTCGATGGCACACGAGCACAGGCGAGACCTGAACTGCAGACGTTACCATCGGTGTTTAAACTCATTTAAGTTTTGCCAATGTAAACATTCAAGAGCAAGACTCGAAGAACTCGTGTCTAGAAGATTTGTGCACGCGTGTATGTGTAGGCTACTCAGCTCAGACAACTCACAAATATTGAATTCTCTTTCAAGTCTTGCACTTGAATGGACAAATTCACACAAAAAGTGTGTCAACATGTTCGTCTTGATCAGTATCCTAGAAGACATAGTCAGATATGCCTTAAAGGCATATCATAAGTTAACTTATATGGTCAAGAAAGTCACTCACAGTATCGTGTAGGCCTACTGAATCAGCTCTGAATTGAATAGCTTTTGTAACTTTAATAAGAATTAATCTTTAATTTATATAGTCAAATAAGCAATGCTATTTTACATTTGATTATTTTACTTAATTTCTGTACCTGAAAACTAATTTTAGACCTACCTGAAAAGCATAGTTTATTTTATTAATATCTTTGATCTATTGTATTTATTTGTGCTTTTGCTTGTGGTTAGATTATTTGTTCATTTTTTCTTTATTTTATTTGACAATCTTACGGAAACCTAAAACTGTGATACAAACTGAACCGTGCAACCTATTTTGAAACGTTGCAGCCATAGTAGTGTCACAGTCGGAAGGTTTTTGTGTCGAAAAAGGCCCAACCCACCATTTTCGTGAAGATTGGTTGCGAGAATTCAGCTGGTTAAGGTAATACTGGAAGGAGACGAATTCCATGACCTGCGAATGTTGCAGTTGCTACCTTATAACTGCGGGGAACACAAAGTTTGCAGACAGTGCAGGCACTTCACAGTTTAAACACAATACGTTAGTTAAACACAAGCATCTTAATCTCAAGCATAGAGTATGCGGTGACTTGTTAATAAATCAAAAAGCAATGCCCCGGTTGCTTTTAGAAGGCAAGAGGCTGTAATGTTAAGTCAGAGCGCAAAGGCATTCATTTCTGCATCTATAATCATCTATAAAGTATTTATTAGTAATACACTGGAAATTGAATTAGTAGAAATGTGAATATTTGGTTAGTATGTTGATTTACGATGTGTGCTCCGTTGGGGCACAAAATTTTCCGTTGGGGGCCACTGCTCCTAGTTATAAAAGTTAGTCTGGAGCCCTGTTCCTAGTTGGGGTTGAGTTCAAGCACTGAATGAGAGAAGATGCCCGCCTTAGACCTCTCTCGGTTTTTGTCTGTGTTCAGGAAGGAATCCGCTGGCAGAGACACACAGGGCTCTCTTAGGCGAGAAAAGGAGAGGGTCATGGTCAAAGGACACAACCTCTCTTGATCCCAAACAAATAAGACATTCTTGACATTTTTCAAAGTTCAAAAATAAATCTTTTTCTCAAACAGTTGACTGTTTGATACAAAGTCCAAAACATGTCCTGCTACTTTCTTAGCTGGAGCTGAATTGAAGAATAGAGCTTTATGAAAACATCTGACAAAATCCTGTCTGTTACAGTGGCGATACCAGCTCGCTTTTTTTCTTATCACTGCAAAAGAGACTCAAAATACTCTTTTTGATTTTGATCTTACATATAAGTGTTATACAGCATTAGATCCTGTCAATTGTATGTCTGTGTGTGTGTGTATATATATATATATATATATATATATATACATTACATTCACAGTCATTCTGCATTCAGCATTCACACAGCGCGTTGTGTTCGGTTGCGACAGTAACACGACGACGCTCTTCAAGATCAATGTTCCCGTATTATACTTTATTTGTAGATAAAGCATAAAGGTCTATGGTTTGCATAACAAATCTTGCTGGAGTTTATTGCCCTTTCTAAATCATATTCCTTTCTCCTGGGTGTCTGTAAGATTACAGCACTGGAGTCGAGAGTGCTATGAATTGTTCTTCTGTGCACTGTAACTGAAATTTAAAACTGTTAAAAGAAAAGGCTCAAAAAACTGTTGCATAGGTAGAACACGCTAAGAATAGATAGATATAATCTCTTCGCTATGTGCTATGAACTTTTCAATGTGAAGCGTTGCGTGCTGTGACTTCGCGTTGCTTCAAGTGCATTATTCTGCGCACGGGATGCGCATAATCGCTTTGCTGCTCTTTGTGGAGCCTTTCATATTATAATACTTAGGGGAGATAGGAAACAATGAGTATTATTCCTCACGGCGTAGCAAGACGACCCAAAGTAAATGATTCTTATTAAACTTGATGTGTTTTATCCAGCTGATGTGGGCGTTGGGATGTTTGCATTGCTTGCTTCAGATCATTTGCGTTTGAATAGTGTGCGCTTTCAGTGGGCGTGGTCACATTAGCAATTAATGAGCTATAATGAGCTGAAAAGAAAACAACTGACATCTCTCTTTTCATACAGATTACATAAACTGTGTATATTTGTTTTTTATAAAAATTACCTATTTAAAAAAAGAGAATTCAAGCTTCATGCCTTTGTGCACTCGGTATTTGCTGAGTTACAGTTCATTTTCGGACGCTTTTCAGAATGGACTTCACTGACAGAGAGAACACAGAACTCGCATCATGTTTATTTTTCTTTATTTGGCGTAAAGCACAACACTTTGTTTTTATTGAGTATCCACAAAAAAATAGACACAGAACATGTTCTAATGATGTTCAACACATATGTAAAATCAAAATCAAGTATTTTGAGTGTCTTTTGCACTTTGCAAGAAAAAAATATTGCAAATTGCCTTAATGCCTTTTCAATCAAAACGTGTCTTTCTACCCATATTGTTCAATTCTACTTTTTGTCATGGATTATTCGCATTACTTCAAAGCATTCATTTTACTATACAATATTGTCAAAGTTTGGAGTCAGTCCTTTTTTTGTTTTTGTTTTTGAAGAATCTTTCTGAAGAATCTTGATGCATCCATGGTTTCTACAAAAATATTAAGCAGCTAGCTAATTATGAGAAATGTTTCTTGAACATCAAAATTAGAATAATTTCTGAAGAATCATGCGACACTGAAGACTGGCGTAATGATGCTGAAAATTCAGCTTTGATCACTGGAATTTATATATTAAAATCATATTTTTAAATATTCAAATAGAAAACACCTATTTTAAAGTATAATATTTCACAATATTACTATTTTAACTGTATTTTCTATATATAATTTGTCTCATGACCGTAATGGTGCTTCATTATTATAATGGGTGTTTGGGTGTGGGCGAATTCTGAATTCACCCATTTTCAGAATTATCTTTATTAGATAACTTGGGCATCATCAAATAACTCGCGATACATGTCATTACAACTAAATGCATCACAATATCGTTTATGGATTGACACTGAAACCGAGCCTGTCGTGTGAGAAAGACACTTGTCGGAGAGCATGAATCTACAGTATCAGTTTCATTCTCTCTCTGGCAGTTTGTTCCAGCTTTGTTTTCCGTACCACATCTCCTAAAAGCATCTCTGAGCACTGTCTGAAACTACGGTTCGAAATCGATGCAAAAATGAAACCTTTGTGGAATTAACTGTAGGAAATACACAAGTACCTAAAAAGATTGATTTCCATTTAAAGGAGGCAAAATAATTGTGTGCGTAATAGCCCAGGCATGTTCTAGACTTCGTGAGATTCACAACTTTCTGAGATCACAGATGTCCGAAATCCTGGAGATCGAGGACAAATGAAAGTGTAACAGTGTGATTATGGATGAAGCAGAGCCATATGGGTCACAGAGTCGCACGGAAGTGACATTATCTAGTGCAAACCTGTATTATTAACCTGTAACGTACCCAGAACTCAAGCTTCAGATTCTGTATTTATTGTGTCTGTTTTTGCTTCAGTTCTCAGGAGAGTCAATCTCAGAGCGCACATCCTCTTTATAGCCACGGCGTGTGCAAGTGGCCAGGCTGCGACACAGTGTTCGGAGACTTCCAGTCATTCCTCAAGTGAGTCAACACTCTCATCCTCTACGTTTTATTATGCTGTTTGTCCTGTTTGCAGATCTGTGAGGAGGAGCTGAATGCGGCTGTAATCTAATTATCATTTCTGAGTGTGCCCGCTGCTCTTTTAATGCGTTTCTATCCCTTTTACTCTGTTTACTTGTTTCATGTTTTTTTGTCCCTTTCCCTTCTCCCACCTTGGTTCGCTTTTATGTATGTATGTATATACCACCCATGTGTCTTTATTTTCTTTCCATTTCCTTCCCTCTCTCACTCTTTCCCCTGTGGCGGTGCAGCCGTGGGGCCCCTCAGGGTTGAGCTCAGTGCACTGATAAACAGAGTACCCATGGTGATCCTGGCCATCCCTCCCAAAACAAACAACAGGAGGATGTTTATCTGTGCCCCTTCCACTGACCCTGACCCCTGCTCCCAGTCCGAGGCCCCGCCCTGTCTATTGCCACAACACTGCCTTTGTTCCTCAGCTCGGTCACAGTTCCTCCATATAAAAACATGTTTCTAATGATCACATCACACTGACATTCACGTGCCGTACCTGAGAATAAGGTGTTTAGATATTGCTTTTCAACCTTCATGAATATGCAATCACAAATATTGCATGAAAATTGCATTGCTTTAGAGTTTCACCATGTAAAAATATCTCCCTCTCTCTTCATTCAATAGAAAATGCAAGATGGTCTCATGGATAAATGTGCTTGATATGCAATCAATTTAATTATGAATATTTTTTAGCAAAATGTATATTTTTAAAACGAGTTGTAAAGATTAGAGTTGTTTGAGGAAGTTGTTTGGATGAAAGTCTTGCACAGATTTTCTTTGAATACAGCGCCCTCTACTTCTCAATAATAGTATTGCATACATTTATGATGTCAACATGTCATACACTACATGTTCAAAAGTTTGGTTTATGTTTTATTAACTGACTGTAATGACATTAGTAATGTTATAAAAGATTTAAAATAAGTGCTGTTCTTTTGAACTTTCTATTGATCAAAACTCCTTAAATTTATCAGGGTTTCCACAAAAATATGAAGCAGCAGAACTGTTTTCAACATCGATAACAATCAGAAATGTTTCTTGAGCAGCAAATCAGCATATTTGAATAATCTGAAGGATCATGTGACACTGAAGACTGATGTCAAAACAAAATTTTCATCATTGTTTTATAATATATTAAAATAAGATATATTTTTTAGTTCCATTTCTGTTTTAACTATTTTTGATCAAATAAATGCATCATTGGTGAGCAGAAGAGACTTCTTTCAAAAACATAAATCAATTTTTTGAACACTAGTGAACCTGAATGATTCACTAAAAAGAATGAAACCACTCAATGCTGATGTTGTGTATTATTCTGCTGAGTGTGTTTTCAAAAGAAACTAGATTTATTTTCAGACAACTTTAGGCAAGGCAGGGCAAGTTTATTTATATTGCACATTTCATACACACAACACGACACCACTAAGACAAAACTCGAAAAGAAATAACACATTATAAATAATTTAGTGCTGTGAATGCACGTTAAAGCTGCACTGTGTAACTCTTTTAGTTTTTTCTTAGCTAAAAACACGTTCTTTCAAAAATATATGTGCTCATTAATGTATATTTACTTCGTTCAAGTAATAAAGTATTCTCGTGAGTGTATAATATGCCATTGAAAATACATACAGGTAAGGGGTTCTAATGCCGGTCGCCATGTTGCCCTTTCATCTTGAAAGTACATTAGCCAAAGAGGGACATACCCATTAATTCAAGCTTCGCCTTTCGGGTTTATGTTTGAGTTAACACTCATGGATGGGTCGAACTGGAAGCCATGTTAATCTTGGACTACATTGGCCACCGTAGGAGTTAAAACGAAATCGGAATTGAGAGGAACAGAAACTAATATTCACTGGATGGTCATTAGATGGCGGTAAAAATCACACAGTGTAGCTTTAACGAATGTGTTTTAATGTCTTGGTGTAAACTGAATGTCTGCATGTGTCTGTTGTGTTTTTCAGGCATTTGAACGGTGAACATGCTCTGGATGACAAGAGCACGGCGCAGTGCAGAGTTCAGATGCAGGTGGTTCAGCAGCTGGAGCTGCAGGTAAAGCTTCACAAACATTCAGCACAACTGCTTTTCCTCCAGACAGAACTGCTTCTTGATATGTTGATATTTTATTCTGATTAGACTAAAGAAATGTTTGTTTTCTGCTTTGCATGGTTTGCAAACATCCTGCTCTAATCTTTTTCCTGCTCTGTATGTGCTGAATACACACATGAAGAAAAAGTGAACGTAAGACAACAGAAAGCTCCATGTTCATCAGTGGTGTTTGTGTTTGTCATACAGCTCACTAAAGACAAAGAACGCCTTCAGGCCATGATGGCCCACCTCCATGTCAAGTCTACTGAGGCCAAACCAGCCCCTCAGCCAGTATGTCACTCTGTTTGATTATAAACACACTTCTGTAGTTCTGAAGATACACTTAAGGTGAAGTAATAAACTTTCAAATGTTTCTTAGGTGAATCTGGTGTCCAACCTCACTCTTGCTAAGGCAACCGTTCCGAAAACCACTCCCTCCATGAGCCTGTCCCAGAGTGCCACGGCCCCGTCTACGCCCCTCACGTCACTCCCCCAGATGCCCTCGGTCATCATCCCCACCAGCCTGCACAGCATGGGACCCATCCGCAAACGCTACTCGGACAAATACAACATGGCCATGGACCAAGGTGAGATCGGTGACCTCTAGCCCACTGTCAATGTCAGCGCCAGTATCCCTGCGCGGGACTGAAACCAGTGTAAAGGCCTGTTCACACATGCACGGTTGCTTGGGTCAATGAAGTGTAACTGAAGCAGCTGCACCTCTCTCCTGTGTCTCATAGATATTGTGCAGAATAAGGAGTTCTACTTGAGTGCTGAGGTCAGGCCTCCGTTTACATATGCAGCTTTGATCAGGCAGGTAAGAAACCATCATGCAGCGCTTGGTACCTCACCATCATTCCTGATCAACCATGCTGTCTGAGCTGTTTTAGTTAAACCTTTACATTTATCTTTCATCAGCTGCTGTATGAGAGACATGTGTTTTACTTTTTTAATTCGCAGGCCATTTTGGAGTCTCCAGAAAAGCAGCTAACACTAAACGAAATCTACAACTGGTTCACTCGAACATTTGCGTATTTCAGACGCAATGCAGCAACGTGGAAGGTAACGGAGTAAAAAGATCCGTCTTGATTTATTTCTTGTGCCCTGGATCAGTTTTTTTAATTTCTCCTGCAATCTCAGAATGCAGTTCGCCACAACCTCAGTCTTCACAAGTGTTTTGTACGAGTTGAGAATGTGAAGGGGGCCGTTTGGACCGTGGACGAGATGGAGTTTCAGAAAAGGCGGCCTCAAAAGCTCACTGGGTAAGTGCAGATCTGACTGCCACGTTTTCATCTGCACTGGCCGTTGTCGCGAATGACGCTGAGGTCTGTTTCTTCAGATCACCTCTGGTGAAGAACATCCAGTCCAGTCTGGGTCAAAGTCCCACCCTGTCTGCTCTGCAGGTATGGATTCAGCTCAGACTCGTTCATACATACACTACCATTTAAAGGATTTCTCTTGTGTTTATTTGATCAAAAATACAGTAAAATTATGAAATATTATTACAGCTTCAAACAACTGTTTTCTCTATGAATATATTTCAAAATATCATTTATTGCTGTGATGCAAACACATCATCATTACTCCAGTCTTCAGTGTCACATGATCTTTCAGAAATCATTCTCATATCATGATATGCTGCTCAAGACACATTTCTTATCGATGTTGAAAACAGATGTGCTGCCTTATATTTTTGTGGAAATCGTGATGTTTATTTTTCAGGATTCGTTGATGAATAAAAAGTTCAAAAGAACAGCATTTATTAGACATAGAAGTCTTTTGTAACATTATTAATGTCTTCCATTATTAAACATTATAATAATGAAATGATTCATTATTGAAAGACATTAATAATGAAAGACATTATTAAAAGTTTCCCTTTTGATCAATTTCATGCATCATTGCCTGCCTCAATGGTAGTATATATAACTTGTTTGGGATACAAGTGCTATTTTGGGTGATCTTAAAACAATGTTTCTCCTCAGGCTGCGATGGTGGACAGCAGTCTGCCCCTATATGGCTCGGCATCGATGGGAGCGTCCAGTCTGAAGGCCCTGACCGGTGCGCTGCATGAGGACATGAGTTCTCACGATCATGATGATGGCTCCCGCAGCGACTCCAGCCTGGAGCTCTCTCCTCTGCCCACACTGTGAGTCCACTGTCCTGACTGTCTAATATTACTCACGTAAACCCTGAGAACATCATGTCAGCCACTCACTGCTGGCTTACTGAAATATTCAAATTGGCAATCAAGTTATTTTAACAGAACTGACACAGCAGTACAGATTTAGATTTCATTTTTGCTCGTTGCTTTTTGAAATCATATAAATCTGAGAGTCGCTGTAGAGTCTTTGTCTGGTATTTGCAGTCTAGTTAAACAAAATTTAAATATCCTCTGCATTCGTCTTCTATATCATGAGATATAGACAAAGAAGAAAACAACAAGAACAACAGACTGCCCACATAGCTACAATAAACATAATGCGATGATGCACTTATGCGGCTGTTCCAGTGACGATCAAAACTCAAAAACCCTGTAACTCCATGAGCTTACACATGCAAGTGTCTGACCATATATAAAGCCACAATACCTTCTTTGACAACACAACCACCTTTCATCATCACCAACATCATAGCTACACCTTATTGTGTCCTAACCTGACTCAAGTTTCACACTAATTGTGATATAATATCCAGTTTTAATATGCCATTTGAAGCAATGCATGCTTGTGCAATTTTGTGTTTATTTCTCAAAACTGCTTGAATTTAATGTAGTCCTCAAAACAGAGCATCTATACCAGTGAGCAGTTTAATTTGTGCTGAAGTGTAAGATCTTGGTTGATGTGAGCCGTGTGTGTGTGTGTGTTCTCAGGCATCGGTCTCAAATTAAAGAGGAGCAGATGGAGGCCGAGGACTATAATGGGTCCATGTCTCCAGAGACAGAAGACCAGCACAGTCCAGACACCAACCACAACCCAGAGTACAGCGAAGAGCCGGGCCTCTCACCGTTCCACTGCTGAGATCAGACTCCTGACAAACACATACACACACACAAGTTACAGCTGCAACTTTTCCTTTTGGGAACTACCCTTTATTTATTGTTTCGATTGACCTGTTTCTGTTGTACGCAATGGTTTGACCTCAATGGTACTAAAGGGCTCCTAGAGGGCGCTGTAGGCTACACGTCATCTTTGCTTGGTATATTAAACACTACGGCACCGTAGTAATCGAACGCTCACCTTGGAGGGAAGGCGCTTTCCCTGTCGGCCGAGGAAAATTTGAAGCGGTCTACGACAAGATTTATTTAGCTTTCCACAAAATCTGTTCACTGCAGCTGTGAATGCTGAATGAAAAGCTCTTTTATTGTAAACGCGAGTTTAAATCACCTCAGCCTCAATACTGTAGGGTTAGTCGCCATCGAGGGCCCTGGCTGCCGTGGCCTTAAATTTCGGGCCGCTTATCGGTAGAGTGGAAAATGAAATTGTGAATGTCTATCTTTTTTACCTCTTGTTTTTTCAAGATAAAAACAAAACCAAAGGGGAACATTTTATAACCAGCACTTGATGAATGTTTTTCAATTGTAGTTTTTGATTTGTTTTTCACTTAGTGTGTACAGAAGGTTACTGTATTTCCATTATCCAAAACATTTACGCAAAGAAAAAGCCTCATTCTCAACAGTCACAACCATTCGGTTATTAGTAAAGCTGAACCAAACATTTCCGTATTTGAGTAGAGCAACTTTTCTTTTCTGTAGAAAAAAAATCAAGTTACCAAAGATTGTGAAAGATGTTTTAATGTTGTGTACCCTGTTTACATTGTCCCTTTTGATATGGCCAAGACTAAGAAGTCTTCACTTGAGTGGATTTGATGAGTATTGGAGGCATTTAATGTCACACTCGTGACATTTGAGCAGTTTGTAAACCGCAATCATTTGATTTGACAACGTACCACAGAGAAATGAGCTGATGAGGGAAATAATGCGTAATTGTTGACTGAATAATTTGTTACACATGTCCAAAAGAAATAGATGCCATCTATTTCAAATCAACTATTTCAGTTTTTTCAATACTTCTGAATAAATGGCCTTATGATTAATAAATTCTTGTATAAAAAGTGTTTTTTTTTTTCATTTATACAAATTACTGTTACTGTGATTGTATGTGTATATATATATATATATATATATACAATCACAGTAATAGAATAGTGCATTGGAATTGAAATAATTCACATAATGAATTCAGATTTGGTACCATGACTTTTATTACATTTATTATATTTTTCACTTGTGCATACACTGAAAAAATAGCATAAGATAATTAAAAAAATCCTTTTCTTATCAAAATCCTTCCATGTAGTCTTTTTTTAACTTTCCAAGTCAGCTGCATGTGTGAAAATATATTACTACATACAAAGATCAATAAGAAAATACAGAATACAATATATTAAAGTCGTCATAGACGTGTCTAACTATCTGTCAAAAACAGCAATAACTCGTTGATACAGGCAAGTAAAATAAATGGCACAGCTTATAGTAACTGAATGAGTACATATAGCCACACGTCTTTGGTTATAAACCGCTTCTGGAGATCATGATGCAAAACATGGAATGCAGAAACGTCCACCTGTCCCGTCAGTTTAAAGACCGATTACATTCCAATAATAATGTTCCATTACTACACCATACGTCAGGCGTGACGGTCAGCTGACCAGGCTATGGTTCATATACGATGTGGACGGTTATGTACCACTGTCTTATTCCATGTATGAATGGTGCATAAAATAGCCTACACCACAAAAGGGGACTAAATAAAGTTCCTTTCCTACTCTAAAGGCAACCGAATTCTCTCTGGCTAATAATCACATGACCATCAACCTTCCATTGTGACATCATACTACAGGAACCCCGCGTCACGATTACGCCATGTCTGGTCCTCCATCTTTCGCTCTCCATCTCAAACGCTCTTAACTTTCACTATCATTCGCAGACACTGGGCCAGATTCAGAAACCATGGCACCTCCTTTCCAGTTAAAAGGACAAAAATTCACTTCAATTTGGTGGATTAATAAAATATATAAACTGATGATTGTCCTTCTGCAAAGGCTTTTTTCTGTGCAATTCATATGTTGGGAGTGCATATATCATTTATTGTATTCAGGGGTCAATGCAGTGCCTAAAATGTACACATTTAAAAAAAATCTTGGTGACAATTTTATAAAAATCATTTACAATCCCACGAACACCAAAAAAGGCTTAAATAGCGCAATACCACAACAGATGGTTGGCTTTAGTTCGGTTACATTCTCTATATTTTGGTTTGAATGTGCTTTGGTATCGTGTTAGTCAACAGTAAAGCCGTTGTCTTTGCCAAAAGTTCCTGCAGTCTTTAGTTGTGAAGCTCTTAAACTTGACAGAAGGTGCAACACTAGAGTCTTGTGATGTTCGGCGGTGTGTGTGTGTGTGGTGTGAAGATGACGCTCCTCGTCCCCGGGGCTTTAGCGTCTCTGCGGTGCCAGCATTACTTTGTTAATGAAGTTGACGATGGCAGTCGCAGGCTGTTCGGGATCCAGCTCTGCGAAGAGATGGCAGACGTTCTCCACCGCACTGCCGGGCTTCTTGGCGACAAAACCAAAAACTCTGAGAGGAGGAAGAGCGACATGCAAATGAGTGATTGTGGATCAAATATCCGTCAGTTTTGCAATCCAAACATGGAGTGAACGGACAGACAGGTTGATCAGTACTAGAGTAAAATAACATGCACATAATTAGAGGAAACAAGCTGTCACAACAGTCCAGACGACACACACACACACGTTTCATTTAGACTTACTTAGAGGTTGTGCTGTCTGAGTTAGTCCACCTACGGCAGCAAGAGGGAGACAGAGACAAGACTGAGGAACAGACTCTCTCTCTCACACACACACACACACAAACACACGGGACGCTGATGCAGCCACACATGAACATGCTCTCAATCTGAGGTCAAAGCATACATGCAAGTAGGCTACACAGGTCCTGTTCCTACATTGCTGTGGTGCAATCATACTTGCGCTGCGTCTGAATTCCGTTCTGACACATTTCCCATTGCAATGATACGTGAAATCGAGGTTGTGTAGAAGTATTTTCGTTCTTTTAGAGTATGCAGCAGTTGTACACATGCACACACACACACACACACACTACACGTTTTCAAAAGTGGGCTATTTAGGCTATTTATTTCATTAAAAATGTGACATTTAGACGTTTTTTTCGGCGTGGATCGAGGCAAATTAATCCTTTTCACCTTGAAAATAATAAATGTTTTTTTGCATTTTAAATAATAGACCATTTCTCAGTGATCGTAATAATTCCATTTTTCTCGGTTTAATGAAAACCAATAGGTTGTGATTTTCACGTTTGAGGGGGTTTAAACCGTGACATCTACACGTTTTCAAAAGTGGACTATTTAGGCTTCTTCATTAAAAATGTGACATTTAGACGTTTTTTTCGGCGTGGATCGAGGCAAATTAATCCTTTTCACCTTGAAAATAATACATGGTTTTTTTTGCATTTCAAATAATTGACCATTTCTCAGTGATAGTCAACAAAATTCCATTTTTCTCGGTTTAATGAAAACCAATAGGTTGTGATGGTAAGTTTCAGTTTAAGCTTGAGGGGTTTTCAAGTGGACCAACGTGAATATTTCACATCTTGTCGTGATACCGGGTTGAAGAAATGTTGTTTTGGCTACTTTGTTTGATATAATCACAACAATTTAACGTAGGCTAAGCAAGAATGGGATTTGAACTCAGGTCTTCTTGATTAAAGCCCAACGCTTCATCAATTGAGCCAATTGATCTCAATTGACTCTGTTGAGTTCAATGTTGTATTAAATGGGTTTTTATTGTTTGGTTTTATTTCTTGGAAAAATAAATATTGAAATATATTTTGACACAAGAGGGCATTATAGCCCTATTTATGGTTTTGAGTTTAAACTAAACCGTGACATCTACACGTTTTCCGAATTGGACCAACATGATTATTTCACGTCTTGTCATGAATCATGATACGGGTTGGGCACTGAAGTTACAGGAGTTTCTTTCCGTTGCTAAGCAATGGAACAAGGTCGAGTATTTAAAGGGTTATGGTTAAATGCTGTTTGATCCTGTAACATCTGGTTTAATGTTACTGCCTCAAATTCTTTAGATGCAAAACATGAGGCTGTCTGCCACGAAAGAGCTTTTACAAAATAAAAATCACAGAGTCCAAACTATTTACAGGGTTCAAAGTGATGCTTTAGGAAAAGACGAGTGTTTTGTCTGCACAGGGCGGGTTTACAATTAATGAGCCCCAAAGATTGTGTTTTACATGCTACTGAAAATATAAACACAAATGATTCAACAAAAAACATTGATGCACACACAGACAGTGCAGCCCACAGAGATTCATGCACCGCCTGATTAGATTGCTGTGTACGACTAGTTCTAGGCAAGCAACTGTTAAACTAAATTAAACAATGCTAAAAAAAAATATAAAGAAAACTTAAAAAACAAAACACAAAATCTAAATAAAAGATAAAACATCATTAAAAAAATAAAGTAATTGCTCCTATTTCCAAAAAAAAAAAAAAAAGCAATATATATATACTTTATATATAGACACACACTCACCTAAAGGATTATTACGAACACCGGTTCAATTTCTCATTAATGTAATTATCTAATCAACCAATCACATGGCAGTTGCTTCAATGCATTTAGGGGTATGGTCCTGGTCAAGACAATCTCCTGAACTCCAAACTGAATGTCAGAACGGGAAAGAAAGGCGATTTAAGCAATTTTGAGCGTGGCGTGGTTGTTGGTGCCAGATGGGCCGGTCTGAGGATTTCACGATCTGCTCAGTTACTGGGATTTTCACGCACAACCACTTCTAGGGTTTACAAAGAATGGTGTGAAAAGGGAAAAACATCCAGTATGCGGCAGTCGTGTGTGCGAAAATGCCTTGTTGATGCTAGAGGTCAGAGGAGAATGGGCCGACTGATTCAAGCTGATAAAAGAGCAACTTTGACTGAAATAACCACTCGTTACAAGTTAGACCCTTCCAGAGCTGAGATATTGAGATATATACAATGGCATAAATGCTACGGGGGATCTCAATATCTCAGCTCTGGAAGGGCCTAGAGCTTCCATTTTTGCACTCAGGTCTAAGTCCCATGGCCCTCTATCAGAATCCAGAGTTTCAAGAAGATTGGAGAAACTTAATTTTTCGCCCGAAAAAAAAACCGAAAGGGGTACCACTTTCGTTTTTTTTTTCGGGTCGAATTTTTGAGTTTCGTTATCTCAGCTCTGGAAGGGTCTAGAGCCTCCATTTTTGCACTCAGGTTTAAGTCTCATGGCCCTCAATCAGAATCCAGAGTTTTGAGAAGATTGGAGAAACTTAATTTTTCGCCCGAAAATGAAAAAAACGAAAGGGGTACCACTGTCGTTTTTTTTTTTTGGGGTCGAATTTTTGAGTTTCTTTATCTCAGCTCTGGAAGGGGCTAGAGCCTCCATTTTTGCACTCAGGTCTAAGTCTCATGGCCCTCTATCAGAATCCAGAGTTTTGGGAAGATTGGAGAAACTTAATTTTTCGCCCGAAAAAAAAAAACGCAAGGGGTACCACTGTCGTTTTTTTTCGGGCCGAATTTTTGAGTTTCCATATCTCAGCTCTGGAAGGGGCTAGAGCCTCCATTTTTGCACTCAGGTCTAAGTCTCATGGCCCTCTATCAGAATCCAGAGTTTTGGGAAGATTGGAGAAACTTAATTTTTCGCCCGAAAAAAAAAAACGTAAGGGGTACCACTGTCGTTTTTTTTTTCGGGCCGAATTTTTGAGTTTCCATATCTCAGCTCTGGAAGGGGCTAGAGCCTCCATTTTTGCACTCAGGTCTAAGTCTCATGGCCCTCTATCAGAATCCAGAGTTTTGGGAAGATTGGAGAAACTTAATTTTTCGCCCGAAAAAAAAAAAAAACGTAAGGGGTACCACTGTCGTTTTTTTTTTCGGGCCGAATTTTTGAGTTTCGATATCTCAGCTCTGGAAGGGGCTAGAGCCTCCATTTTTGCACTCAGGTCTAAGTCTCATG